AATCAATCTTTATTGATAAAATGCTGTTTTAATAGGAAATCACTACATTTGAGGAAAGCAGCTCTCATCAAAGTCCTCTGGGTCTGAAGCAAAAGGGAGATATTCCCAGTGGTATGGGTGACAGCCTCTGGAGGAGGCAGCGGTGACTCAGGTAAGGGCATCTGGAGAAAGCTGTGCAGGTCATAAGCTCTTCCTCTCCCTCTTATAAAGAGATGAAGAAGGAAAAGTGACAACAAAGTTTTGCATCCATGCCTTTCTCTTCCAGGTAGCTAGCTATTTGGGCTAAGGAGATCAAAACAGAGCTGGAGAGGGTCAAGGTCAACAAGGAAGAAATGGAGGTATGCTAATGATTTTGAATGCTACATAAACAATGAAAATATAAGTTCTAAAGGCATTTTAGCTCAAAAATGTTGTAGGATTGGTTAAGTTGGAAAAGTTGACATTTTTAAGAAATGAATGGGGATATGTTTTAAGCAAAGCAAAATTATTAGGAGAAAAAATGAAATGGAAAAGATAAACTAAAATTACAAGTCAATATTATTATTATAAATGTTAAGTGAATATGATCAAAGCCCTTTCAACCATTTATAAATTCACAACAATTACCTAATTTGTCTTTTAAATTTACAAAGCTTATTTGTTCCCTATATGTGCCTTACAGGATCTGTGTTCAAGAGATATAATGTATACCTTATATAAAAACATTCAAGGAAAAGTAGACTTATAATAGAGTGTTAACTCTGCTGCACATATTAATAATCTATTACCCAAAACATTTCTAAGTGTCTACATTTGAATAGATATAATTTGTTCTTGGAGTTAACAGTCAGTTTAAAGCCTACTTCTAAGTCAGTTCAAAGCCTTCTTGTCAGTCAATTTAAAGTCCACTTCTCAGTCAGTTCAAAGCCTACTTTTCAGTCAGTTTAAAGCCTACTTCTACAAAAGGAATTCCAAATGTGGGAAAGTAATACATGACAATGTTATTGTCAGCTATTTCAGTCACCATGATGCCAGCTTGACACATACCCTTAAGTTCAATAGAAGAAAAGAAAACCTGGCCCAGGACCATGCCACATTTGAGACCACTGAAATGTTTGTGTCCACTGTTGCGACTACTGTGTAAATCCAATCTCAGTGGACACTTCCCTTCTGTTCACTGGCCCTCTGCGTTTACTAAGCATGATGTTCTTTTTTAGCACTTGGTCTTTCCTGCAGCCACATTCTTCTCACCTTGGCTCTTACATTTCCTCTGTGCTTGATTTGTTCATTCTTCTCATAGTCCACACTAGCTATTCTTCTCCCACACCACAAAGCAAATGTATCCATTTCTCTTCCGCCTTCTTTTTTACCACTGCCTGGTGCTCACATGCACATGAGGTCTGTTTCTGTTGTTAAGTACTACGCTGTTACTGCAGAAATGCATCAATGAGTGGTTTCAACACATTTATCCTCTTACAGCTTAGAAAACTATAAGTCCAAATCCAGGGTGGCAGCTTTGAGAGATGGTCTCTCTGTTGGATTTAGAAGAAAGTCATTGTCCCCTTCCAACATCCATGGGCCCACTTTCCTGTGTCCAGTCCATGTTTTCACATCAACCTTCCCCTGAACCTAGAGGTGTTCTTCACAGGGGATTCCAGGTCCAGAGAACACTGCTCCCAGCTCTTCTTTCTTAGTGGTAATCAGACCCCTTCTTCTATGTTCCCATCTCTCTCCTTTTGTCTCCTAAAGATAAAAGGGGATGTAGGCCATACTCCAAGGACATTCCCTTACAGCGAATCCGCACTGTGCCCTGATGCTCATCATAACTCCTTCAGACTAATTGGATGATCACATCATAGGGAATGATAATATCACTCCCCAAGCCAACAAACAAACTCACAACTGTCCGCTGACTGTGACTCACAGAGTGTCTATAGGACAGGGAAGCCTCGGCTGTGGATCTTGGTGGAACTAGACTACTACATCGTTTTGTTTTCCCACAGAGAAGCTGGTGGGTTCAAACCTCCAACTCTTTGTGTAGCAGCCAATCACTTTTACCACAAGGTCTCCTTGCTTATGTTAACTGCCAAGCCACTAAGAGTCGTGGTCAGTTAAAATTACATCTATTTGGGAAGCAAGGGAACACAATTCAATCCAAGACAAGGTGGTTGACAAGGTCATGCCCACTTGAGTCATCAAAGTGACACCTTTTCTTTTCAAAACTCTGAAGAGGTCTTTTGCAACAGATTTGGTATCGCAATGTGGCATCTGATTTGGTGACCTCTTTCCATGGACGTTGACTGTGGATCCAAGTAGAATGAAATCCTTGACAACTTTAACACAAGTGGAGTTGGGATTTGTCGATGAACTGCAATAGGCACTGTGGAAAAGAAAATATATAGATGGGCAACATTTGCAAATTCACCGATGATTTATAAAAATCTCAACGCGAAGTGAATGGTCACCAAAGGCTAGATGAAGATCTTCAGTAAAAATGGCCTTGAATTTTTAAACAGAGGTCTTATTGGAAAAATATCTTGATGATACTCTCGTTGGAAGAGGCGAGGCATCATTTAGGGGGAGGGTGGGAAGGCATCGTGACAAAACTATTTCCTTGACCTCGCATTGCTCTCATGCCAATGCTTTCTGAGTTCCTTGCCTTCCTTTTGCCATGATCAGGACGGCGTTTTAAACTAAACAACCGTGTGATCTGAGGGGTCACTAAAAATGGCAGTCAAAATGAAGACAAACAAGAACAAATCACCATTCGACCACGCCAGTGTGCAACGTTTCTCAGTCTGGGTCATTAGGGAGAGAGCGAGAGGACAAACCTTGGTGTGAAGATGCTCTGAAGTGCCGTGGAATACTTTTGAATTTCAGCCCTAGTGCCCCGCGAGGCTTTCTGGCTCTTTCCATTCTGGGCCTCGTGTGCAGTGTTTTTCTCTTTCTTCGGCTTATTCACTGTGGCTGTCTACCCACGGTTTATTAACAACTTCTTTTATAGTTAGTCTCTTTAGCATCGCATGTCTTATGTTCAGTTCTCCAATTTCCTTATATCCATGTACACATTTCTTTATTTTGTCTGTAGGACACTTGCACTTGGATGCTGTGGCAGAGGCAGGTGCCCTTCTCATAGCCCCACACAGCAAAGATGCCGGAGGCTCCCGTGGCTTCCTGCAGGCGTCTGGCGGCTGGTACGCGCTAGACCTCTGCCTGGGGCAGAGCAGGAGTGCCATGCAGTGAACACTCAGCACAATTCTCAGCAAGGAAGGGAGAGAAGTCAGTAAAGGAACATACCAGTCTGGAGTGTGATGATTCTGAGGCACACTCTATGGTCCCTCATAGGTTCCCCAGTACAACTGAGCCCCTCAAAAAAACCTAAACTGACTGCCATTGCGTCAATGCTGGCCCATAGCGACCCCCTGTGGGTGTGCAAGACCTGTTTACTGGAGTAGAAAGTCCAGTCTCTCTCCTGTGAAGCTGCTGGTGGTTTCCACTTGCTGACAATGTAGACCGCAGCCACACAAGTAACCAAGACATCACCAGAGCCCCAGTCATCCTCAATCATTAATGAATCCATTTTTGTTTCCCTGCCCCTTTTCTGTCACTTCCCTAGACCTTCTCAAGCTTCCTGGGATCATTTCCCAAAGACACTGTTTATGCCCACGTCCATGTCTCCGGGTCCTCATCAGGGGATAGGAGATCCAAGCTAAATCAGGAATCCTACTAAAGCATACAATCTGTTAAAGACCGTCATCTCTCAAAGCTGGTACTCCAATTTCCTTTATCATCTACTGACTTACCTTTTCTTGGAGAGCTGGCTTCTGGAATGGACTGTGTGTTTTAGAGGCAGACTTGGCTCTTGCTCCCTGTTCTATGTGTCCCTGCAGGTGAGCTACATCTTCCATCTGACTCTTCATGGGTTTGTACATACACGATAATAACACCTTCCAGGGCTTTTATTTTGTTTTCATCCCACCATATTGCATCCCATTATAATGCACCAGTATCAAATTTAGGGAACAGACAGAGCTTTCTGCTTCTGTTTCTGTAGGCTTCTCCCTTCTTTAATAATCACTTTGATCCAAGTTGGAATATAACAGCGAAAATCACAAACAAGAGTATTCTCAGATATCAAATAAAAATTGACTAACAGGAAAGGTTTTCTCCTGAAATTAAGGTGAAAAGACCTCCTTATCACAACCATCCTAGGGCAGAAATAGAAACATCACGGAGAAGGAAAAAACAACAACAACCAGGAAGCTCAATGAAAATGATGTTATTTACAGTTATAATGTTGTCAAAAGTAAACCCTTAATAACTTTATTTCCTTCCTTCTCATAGCTTCCTGCACACCACAATCAGTGCTGACATTGAGTTTGCTCTGTAGTTTTTTTTTTTTTACCAAGTCTTCATTTCTAACAACTTGCCTGTTAGATTGTACTTTCATCTTTATATATTCTCCTCTGCCTCCTAAAATTTTTCTTTCTCATCCATCAAACTGATGGGTCAAGGATCTTCTGTGGATGGTATTCACATTTAATTATAAGTCATACCTTCAGCGGTTGATTTATATTGAGGAAGCAGAACAAATGCAACATCCACCTGTAATGAATCACAAGTGGCCCCCGAATCACAGCTTAAATCATCAGCGAGCGTCTGCATGGATTTACAACATTATTGAGCTTGTGATTAATCAGCCTCATGCAAACTCACTCCTACCCACAGTGACTGAGCCATTCTATCGTACATTAAAGCTCGGTGGCACTGTTTCTGATCAGTTTGGAGTTTTGCTTCATACGACAGTGTATGGTTAACCTCACCATCTGGCCCAACAACTGATGTGGCTCCTGTACCCCTGTAGAGCCCCAGGCTATCTCCCTGGGGAATCTTTGGTTTTCTGTGGGGCATCACGATTACCACTTTGTAGCTTTTTAAAATCCTTGGATGACAATTGCAAAAAATCCTCCACATTAGAGAATCTTGTATTGGAGTTAATTTAATAAAAAGAGCTCACTTACCTGAGGACCAGGCTGTCCCTAAAAAAAAGAAAAAAGGCAATTATAAAATCAGTTTTCCCTTCTTAACACTTGTTTTTAGAATAAATGGTTTCACTGCCCAAATTTAAAGAAGTCCTAAAAATCTTTGTACAATATTTCTAAAAATCAATCCATTTGACAATTTTCCATGTGTGATTTTAATAATTGTCAACACACCCCATTATTTTCACGCTAGGCGACTTATCTACAATTCTGAAGCACTTGCTGATGAGACTCAAAGTCTGCAGACTTCCATAAGAATTACCCTTCAACACAACAAGACAAGGGGATCCTGACAACTGGCCCATCAGGCAGCATGATGGCCATTAGAGAAAGGATGGAAGTTAGCGAGGATGTCCTTCTCCTTGGATTCACGATCAATGCTCATCGAAGCAGCCATCAAGACATCAAATTCTGTCCGACACTGGGCAAATCTCCTGCAAAAGAACCAACCCACTACAAAGCCAAGATGTCACTTTGGGGACCAAGATGCTTCTGACTTGACCCAACCCGTGGTCTTTTCAATCTTCTCCTATGCATGCGAAAACGAGATAAGGAATAAGGCAGACCACAGAAGAACTGATGCCTTTAATGATGGCGTTGGCAAAGATTGTGGACTGCCAGAACAAATCTGCCCTGGAAGATGTACTGCCAGCATGTTCCTTAGAAGTGAAGATGGCAATACTTCCTCTCATGTACTTTGGACATGCTAGCGGTAGAGACGAGTCCCTGGAAAAGGACATGTTTGGTCAGCGGAAAAGCGGGAAGTCTCTCATCTACATGGGTTGACACAGTGGTTGCAACAATAGGCTCAAGAATATCCAATCCTGAGGATAGTGGAAGACTGAGTTGTAGTCTGTTCTAAGTCAATGGTGCTTAAGGACAACAAAAACAAAGCAACATGCAACTCCCAGATGACTCCAGAGTTCTAGTAACACACAAGAATTTAGGTGAAGACAAAGCCAAAGAGTTCTTAAGGCATGGATTATTTAGAAAGCAAGTCTTCTCACACTGATTAGGACTACAAACTCAAAGATACTAAGAAAAAGAGGCAGCTATTTCAGTTCCAGAACTCAGTGTCTTTGAATTTCTCATTGCTTCCACAATGTTATATGTTAATTTTTCTTAAAAATATTTTACTTGGCATAATTCAACCCAAGAGCATTTAAAAAGATATGAGAGGTCTTTGATTCAATCAAGTGCACCCAAACTTCTCACACAGTCAATAGATCAGATAACCTCCTGGCTAGATAATTCATTTGAATGTCACTTCTGTGGCTTAAGCTGATAAAAATTTCAAAGCAGCCTAGCTGTAAATGGTCCTGGTTAAAGAAAAATCACCTGTGAATAAAAAATATTGATTGCACATCACCTTAAAACCTCCACTTGGGTTTTGTGCCAGATGAGATTAAAGAAAAATGTCCACAATGAGTTAGGGAATCTTAAAAAGAACTAGACACGGGAAAGCCTCTGTGTATCAGCGTGCATCATTGGGACCGAAATGCACAAAAGCTAATGTAGCTCCAAGAGAATTCCCTAGGTCTCCCTCTCTCTCACTTGGCGCCTCTCCAGACTTGGAATTTCTTGAGAAACTTTAACTCACTGAGCTTAGGAGTGGAAAATTTTTCAAGAGCTTTAACTGAAAAATGTGGTTAGCTGTTGTTGTTAAGGACATTACATAGACACTAGAAAGATATGTCACACCAAGGAATTCAGATTACTCTAAAATGGCTATGATATTACTTTATTCATCTCAGGTATACATGCATGGTGTGTGTGTGTGTGTGATGAGCGGTTGAGATGGCAGTGAGTTTGTAGGAAATGATGTAGACAACATTACAAATTTTGTCTCTGCCCTAAAACATGGACGATACTGAACAAGCCATCCAAATCTTACACGAGAATTTAAGACTTCCTACACCAAATTCTCTCATTCAATACGATGTAAGAAACTGGTCACCCACATCACCAAAATGCCTGGCAGGAAACCAGCTCTGGCAGCTGGACTCCTGTTACGTGCCACTGACTTGGCTCCAACGCTGCCAACCCTGCGGTACAGCCTGGCACGTCCCACGCCAAGCTCACGACTCTTCTTCGTGTTTGATGCCCTTGTTGCAGCCACGGAGTCCATCCATCTGTTGAGGGCGCTCCTCCTTTTGCTGCCCTCTACTTTATCAACATGATGTCCTCCTCCAGAGGCTGGTCTCCGCTGACAACGTGTCCAACGCGCTTAAGACCAAGCGGAGCCATCCTTGCCTCTACGGAGCATTCGGACCGTACTCCTTGCAGGCCTCATCATTAAGCCATCTGGGCAAATGAGAAGTGTTTCTGTCAGCAGGGAGGGGCAGGCTGCTGAGCGGCAGTGTGCGGCATCGAACAAGTTCGCGATCCCACTCAGAGTGCGATCCCAGAGTCTCCCTCATGGATGAGGGCACTCTTTACAGATGAGTTGCCCAGCCCCACCCCCATCAGAAAGCTCAGCATTTCCTTAAGTTGGGCCTGAGGAGTCCATTGGGAAATAGATGTTGTTATTCTTCCGTTGGTGGATAGTTTTCTAGACCAGTCTAGTTTATAGGGGGTGAACGTTATTAACTGTAAAAGCTAACTTTGGGGGTTGTTGCTTTCCCCAATACACCCCAATTCTGTAGTTGTAAATTCTGATGAAAGCACACAAATCACACAACTTATGTTGATTAAAAAAAGAAACTCCTGAGAAATCTTTGTTTATTTTCCCAATCCAATTACTATAATATTCCTATGAATCCAGTCCATCCAAAAGCCACCCCAATGCAAACAGCTAAACCACGGAAATACCGCAGCTTGGCATCTATGTGCAAAGATGGAGAACACTGTGATCTGCTGTGTCAGCGGCCCAACGCCCTGCCTCCAGGGCTGCTTAGACACCACGTGAAGAAGAGGAAACAGCAGGAGGAGCTGGCTGGAAAGCCATCATCAGAACAGTGTGGGGAAAAAATCAGCCAGTAGCTGGTGCTTGACTAGAAAGTTCAGAGAAAGTTAGAAGTTTTGTGAGGCAAGTAAGCCACCAAGGAGCATGATAAATGGGATGGCACATCACTGGAGTGTGCGTTCTGACTTTAGGCAATTAAAGCACCATGTCAACCATTCCTTCTTAAGCTGTTATCACAATTATGGTTTCCAGAAAGCGCTAACACGGGTCTCTAAATCGATAAAGTCGTTTGAATTTCTGACTAAGGCAATTAGTTTCACTACAGGATACATTTCTATCCCTGGGAAATGGGTGCCATTCTGTTTCCAATGCAACAACTCCTGTTTTTTGTTGCTGTTCGCTGGCCTTTTCATTAACTCACATAGAGATAGAAATGCAAAATTTGTAGCTATCTTACTCTGAGATTTTAATTAAGGTGACAGACACATCTATCTTTACTAGGAAAAATTCTAAATAAAATGATTTCATTTGTATAAATTTGGAGACTCCTGGTATCGTTCAAACTCTCCTACTGAGTCAATTCAGACTCACAGTGACCCTAAAGGATAGGGTATGGCTGCCCATGTGGGTTTCCAAAACTGTAACTCTTTAGAGAAGTAGGAAGCTTCATCTTTCTCCAAAGGACCGGTTGGTAATTTTGAACTACCAACCGTGAGTTTAGCAGCCCAATGTGTAACCTCTGCGTCAACAAGTGGTATCGTGCAGGCAACTTTTAAAGCAGCAGTTCTTCAACCTGCGGGTCACAACCCCTTTGGGGGCCAAACAACCCTTTCACAGGGGTTGCCCAATTCATAACAGTAGCAAAATGACAGTTATGAGTTAGCAACGAAAATAATTTTATGGTTGGGGGTGGGGGTGGGGAGTCACCACAACATGAGGAACTATATTAAAGGGTCGTGACATGAGGAAGGTTGAGAACCACTGTTTTTAAGGAACTGCCTGTGTTTTAAGAAATTAAGAAAAAAATTACCTCAACAATCTGAAAAATTCATGATTAAGAAACATATGCTTGACTATACTTATTTTACTTTAATACAATTATACTCTGATTTATTTCAGTCTCCCAAATTAAGAGAACATACTTCAAAACAATAATTTCTATGTCTTGCATATTGGAACCTTTACTGTAGAAAACCCTATTGACTCCCAAGAGAACACTGTCTGGCTCACTTTCCTTGGACACATCGCTCAAGGGGGACATCTCGTACAGTGAAGGATCGGGTCCGTGAAGGGGGGGACTGTTGGTGAGATGGGACAGCACAACTGCTGCAATGATGGAATCGACCACGGTCATGGTCTTGGGGGTACAGCATGGTCTTGGGGGTGCAGCATCGTCTTGGGGGTGAAGCATGGTCTTGGGGTGCATTCTGTTTCACTTATGGTCACCACAAGCAGCATCAACCAGGTCTGAGACTGGTACGTCCATCCATCTATCCATCCATCTATTACTTAAAATGATCACTAAAGAGGATTACACTCACATCATCACCTTGTGAAAATTATCAAGTCCAAACACTCAGATGTCATATTTATTTTCATTCCAAGAAAAAAATTGCACCTGCAGCAGGTATCCAGAATAATGCTTAAAAGCCACATCAGAGGAACTTTGAGTGAGGCCAGGATTCTCGGTCGTAGGAGGTCTTGAGGACGTGCAAGGATCCCATCATAGAACCATCTCCAGGTCCTGATAATCATTTCAACGGGACCTCTTAACATTCCAGTGTAGCAATTTAACCTACAATCTGTGCCAACAAGTGGAACCAATGTACTCTATCCTTATAACACCAGGAAGCCAGAATTCTGCCCATGCTCACTACACTATGAATCTGTTCACATTTTAAACTTCAATATCTATGCCTAGTTATCCCAAGGTAGAAGGTGATTCTAAAATAAATTATACATACACACTACTGCTGTGTACAGAAGAGTGAGAATATTTTAACTGGATCAAAATCAAATTGCAATGATATTTTTAAAGAACAACAGTAACAACGACTATGTTTATGTTACAGGGCTATGTTTCCAAAATGCA